TTGCCATGGGTCCATGGGTTTGCCATTCCCTCATCTCCTTCTTTGTCATGCTTTCTGTTTGTTGGTACTGGCCACTCTGCTCTCGCGTGCTTTTTGGTGAACATGGATGCTTTTGGGGAGCTGTTGGATTGGGGCTGCTGCTGAGTGCATCCCTGGTTTCATACGGGTAGAACCCCATTAGGCATAAGAGGAAGCTGTAGTTGAAGACAGAGTAGAACTGGGGGATGTAAATCCATGAGCATAGCAGGCTTTTAAAGTGTACGTGGGATCCAAAGGGAGATCACTAGGCAGTAAAATGGTCTCAGGTTCTATCTTGGTAACAGGTGGAATAAATAGAAAATTTCACTATGGTAAATATATGGTATGGTGAATGGGTGAAGTTGGAAGTTAGGCTGGAGGAATCTAAAAGGCCCTGGAGGGATGGACAGCTCTGCTGGGCTAGATGATGCGGGGGAAGGTCGTGGGTTCATCTCTCTTGAGTTGTCCCCTCCCCCACCCTCAAGAATCTTTGGACAGCTCTGTGATGTGGGCCTGGATCTGTAGTCTAGAATGTGCCATCTCAATGCCCTGCTGCCTGATGCAGCAACGCACTTCGACGATGTACACCACGTTCTTTGTCTAAGGAGCCTTACTGCGCTATGGCTGAACTCCAGCTAGACTTCCTAGGTATTCCCATCCTTGCCTTCTTGTGTGGGGTGGGGATCCTTCTCCTGTCACTGAGCTACCTAAACAGGAATCCACGTTTCCCAGTATTTTGGAAACAGAGAGACATCAATCAGGTAAGTAAACCAGAGTCCCTCAGAGACATTAAATCTTTCCAAATAGATGCATTAAATGCTATTTCTGCTTTAGCTACATCTCACAAATTTTGTTATGCTGTAGTTTTGTTTAGTTTAAAATTCTTTTTTCTTTTGAGACTTCTTCCTTGACCTATGAGTTTGTAGTATGTTGTCTAATCTCGAAATATTTTGGGGTTTTCCAGCTATCTGTAACTGATTTATAGTTTAACTACATTATAGTTTGATAACATGCTTTGTATGACTTCTAACCTTTTATATTTGTTATGAGGTGTTTTGTGGCCCAGAATTTGATCTGTCCTGGAGAATGTTCCATGTGAGCTTGAGAAGAATGTAAATTCTGTTGTTGAAGTATTGTATAAGTGTTAATTAGGTCAAATTGACTGCTGGTGATGCTTAGGCCAACTGTACCCTTACAGATTTTCTGCCTGCTGGATCTGGCCTTTACTGAGAGTGGTGTTGAAGTCTCCAATAACGGTGAATTCATCTCTTTCTCCTTGCCATTCCACCATTTTTTACCTCACATATTTTGACACTTTGTTGTTAGATGTTAAGTATTGTGTCTTCTTGGAGAACTGACCCCTTTGTTATGTAATGCCTCTCTTTATCCCTGATAATTTTCCTTGTTCTGAAGTCTACTTTGTCTGAAATAAATATAGTTAGTCCTATTTTCTTTTTGCTAGTGTTAGCATGGTACATGTTTTTGTCCATTTACTTTTAATCTATCTGTATCTTTATACTTAGAGTGGGTGTTTTGTAGACAACATGTAATTGGTTCTTGTTTTATAATCTACTCTGACAGTCTATGACATTTATTGGTGAATACGGCCCCTTCACATTGACTATTTTTTTTCATATATTTAGATTAATATCTACCATGCCCGTAACTGTTTACTTTCCATTCTGTCTCTTTTCTTTCCCTTTTATGCCTTTTCTGGATTTAAACAAGCATTTCATATGATTTCATTTTCTCTTTTCTCTTAGCACATCAGTTATTTTTCTTTAACAAGTATTTTAATAGTTGCCCTATAGTTTTTAATATACATGTTCAACTAATCTTTATATTTCATATAACATTATAGCACTTCAGAGTTAATGCAGGTACCTTAGTTATTTATCCTGCTTGGTGTTCTCTGAGCCTCTATAACTTATGAGTAATCTTCCATTAATTTTGGAAAATTCTTGGCCACTATTACTTCAAATATTTCCTCCTTTCTGTTTTTTACCTTTTGTGATTCCAATTACATGTATGTTACACATTTTGAAACTGTTTCACGGTGCCTGGAAATTCTGGGTTTTAAAATTTTTCAAAAATTCTTTTTCTCTTTGCATTTCAGTTTATAAAGTTTCTATTGACATATATTTGAGCTCACTTATTCTTTCCTTGCTTATGTGCACTCTACAGATGAGCCAATCAAGCCATTCATCATTTCTGTTACAGCGTTTTTGGTTTCTAACATTAGCTTTTGATTCTTAGAGTTTCCCTTTCTCTGTTTATATTCTTCCTCTTGTGTGTTCTTTTTTCCATTAGAGCCCTTAACATATCAATCATGGTTAGTTTCGATTCCATGTAAGATAACTCCAAAATGTGTGTCACATCTAAATGTGGATCTGATGCTTGCTTTGTCTATTCAGACTGCTTTTTGCTGTCTTTAGCATGCCTTGTAATTTTTTCTTGAAAGCCAGACAAGATGTATTGCTAACAGAAACTGTAGTAAATAGACTTTAGCAGGAAGTTGTTTTCTGGCTAGGTGTTTACTGTGTTTAATATTTAGTGAAGTTGTATATGTTAGAGGCTTCAATTTCTTTTAGTGTTCTTTTTTTCCTCTTGTGTGCTGTCTTTAGGTTTCCCTAAGTCTCTTCCTTATTTAGACTTGATGCCTCACACTTCTTTCAGCTATAATTGCCTGTTACTATCTGGAAGTTTCGTTGATGTGTAGTGGTAAGGTGAGGGGGAAGGGATATTATTAATTCTAAGACCTTATGTGGGCCTGTGTTCCTGGGCTGTGATGTCCACAGGTGTTTATGAGGATTTTTTTTTCTTTTCTATTCACTCTTTAGATGAAGCAAGAAGGCTAGAAGGGGCTGTATTAGAGTACTTTTCCTTCTTCCATGTGGAATAAGGCTCTGGTATTCTCTTCCCCAACCAAGGCATCTTCTATTATGGACAATACTCAGAGAATATTTCAAAATGTTTTCAAAATGGTTATCTGACTCCTTACTCTCCCTGTGTGGCCAGAAACATGAGAGTTTTTCGTGGCTTTTCATTCTAAAAACCTGATGGGGTTCCTGGAGGTAAAATCCATGAATAAGATGGGCTCCCCACCCCAACACAGTGACTCTGCTAACCCACATGCATCCTCCAGCAATTTGTCAAATGGCCCTTTTAAGTGTTCCTACCATGGCTCCAGTGCCTTCCGTTCCAGGTAAGCTGATCTTGACTATGACTCTGCATTCGCCTCTCTGAAAATTTTGGGTAGTGGTTTGCCTTGCAACCTCAATTCTCTGATGGCTCCAAGAAAAGTCATTGATTTTCTGTTTAGTTTTTTGCTTCTACAGACCGAAGAGATGACTATGAAGCTTTTTAAATGTTGGAGCCAGAACCAGAATTTTCACCGCAAAGGATTATTTTTTATTTTCCTTTCCCAACTTTTATAAATGAGTTTATTTGGGTCAGATAGACACCAAAAAATGGGAAGTCTGAGGAAAAAATAGAACATCATTCTTCTAGGGGAAGAGATCAGATAGGTCTATTGGTTCAGGGAGGACTAAGGTATCTATCTGAAGCTCACAGACCATCTGTGTGGTGGTGGATTTTCCAATAAAATCTGAGACACAATATTCTGTAGCTCTAGGGTTATTTAGACAGTTTGGGGTCTCTGCAGGACAATAGAGTTCCCAGCACTTCATCATGAGTCAAATTCCCATGTCAGGTGTCACTTGACTAAGCCTTCCTTTGTGTTGGGACAATCAGGAAAGCAGTGCTGAGCTTTGGAGAGACTGCTGACAGAGGCTGGAGCCTGAGCTCTGTCCCAGGTTATAGAGTCCTGTCTGAGGGAGTACAGACCTGACTGTTGGCCTCAGATTCTATGGCCTCCTTAAGCAGAGGACTTCTGACTGAGAATACCAAGTATGAACCTCATAGACAAAATCCCTCTTTGAGTTTTTCAAACAAGGAAAAACTGAAAATATTTTATCTCCATTAGAAATAATAAAAGGAACACAAAATTCTGATAATTAATATAGAGAAATATTATTCTTGGATCATAAGTGTCCGATATTCCTAGGGAGAGGAATGAAAGAAATGAGTCCCAACCCCTTATTATTTTCTTTTTATTCTCATCGACAGGGCACAGTCAAGAGAAGAAAGAAAGGTGGGACACTTAAAGGTAAGGTTCTACCTATTCCACCTGAGCTCTCCAAGGCTGACACATTCTCTCATTTCCCTGAGGTCCCAGGTCCTGTTCTCTGTAGATGTTAGTTGCTACATACAGCAATCTCAGAAAACAGAGCCCTCAGAATAGAGACTCATGGGAAGGCAGTCAGATCCCGAAACACTTCTCAGGTTCCTGGCTCCACTGTCCTGGGCATGAAGCAGTGACAGACCTGGGCAATGGGTGCGGCCCACTAGGTGGCCATGTGAGATGTTGAGTCAGAATTTCTGTCTCCTGACTTTGCAAAAGTACTCTGACTGCCTGGAACTTAGACTTCTATTTGAAATGACCACTGACTGATGTTTCTCAACAGGTGGTTTTGAGTATCACATGTGTGGTTTTGAGTATCATTCCTTTGTGAATGATAAAGCAAGATACATCTGAGCCTGTTAATGTCATTGACCATTTTACCTTGTATTCTAATTCTTGGGGTTCTCCAAGTCCAATCTACCAAGAGTACCGCTAAAGAACATTCTGATTAGCCTCCTGTGAGATCTTTGTTTCTACCTTCATTGTTCTCCTGGTTTCCCAGGTTGGAGAGCTTGCCAGAGCGAAGTAGAGGAGGCAAGGAAGGTGCTTTCTCTTGTCCAAAGGTGACTAAACATTACCCCTTTGTTTCTATAACCCTTTTTATAGCAGAGTGTATAAATTTCTAAGGCTTATTAAAGGCTGGGATGGACATGGGAGGGAAAGTCCTCAGAGTCAGAATGTGAAAGTCTTTGGGAGAGGGATAAAAATGTAGACTGTGGGATTGAGGAAGTAGGGAGACATGAGAGGACGGTATGCAGTGGGAAGCCCTACCCTCGCCAGACATGCCAAAGTCGCATGTGTTTGTTCTGGTCCTGGCTGTAGCTCTGTACCTCCTGTCTCCTGCAGACCCATAGGCCAGCATCGTGATACCATCCGCTTTCGTCAACTGTTATGTCCGGACCCCTCCTGTGATGTGTGTAATAGCACAACTGCTGAAGTCAATCAACTGCTGTTTCCGGAGATCCTGGAAGATGCTACTCCCTCTGTGTCTCCTTTGGCTTCTGTAGCTCCTGTGACTGAGTCATCGTATTCTCTGTCTCCTGCCTTCTCAGTAGTCCCACCAAAAGACCCACTCCCTGCCCCTCTGCCTGAGTCTTTCCCACTGCCACCCCGTATTCTCTCCCCTGAACCAACGACCCCCTTAGCTGACTTTTTTTCACCTTCACCACCCGGTCACTCCCTGCCACCAGAACTTTTTCCTGCTTTGAAGCCCAAAATCCCAGTGGACAATTCCCCACCCCAATCTCTTGTTATTGCCCCTCTCCCACCACGTGACACTCAGAGAGTGGATCCTGTTGTCCATACAGAGGCTGCTTCATCTCTGAATACCATCTTCTCCCTTGAGTCAACCCTTTCCCAAGATATCAAGTCCTCATCAGGTTTATCACAGACTATGAATCCCACTGACTCATTTTCTTGTCCTCACATCCAAACAGATCTGTCTATTTCACCACCACCAGACAATACTTTCACTGTGACTCAATCTAAATCAAATTCCATCTTATTGAAGCCTGTTCCAGCGGACTCATGTTCAGATAATCCTGGCACATTATCTGCTTATGTCCCAACAGTTGCAGGCACTGACCATTCAAACCTGTCAATGTCAGACTTGTCCTGTTGGCAGGCATGTGCCAAGAATATGTTCCTCCCCACATTATCACACTCTGATTTTCAGCAAGAGTATGTTTCCCTCCACCTACCAGATACTTGTCTCTGGGGAGATTCTGCTACAAAGCACATGGAAACCAGTAGTGATTCTTCCCCTAGCCTTAACATTCAGGCACACTTGGAGAGACAAATACAAAAGAGAGTTGCTTTTCAGATTTTAGAGAAGAAAGAAATGAAGGAGGGATCATTTTCAAAACATATGTTGTCAGAAAACTACTGGACATCTTCATGGAATTCAGTGCAGCCATTTGAAGTAGAGGACATGACAGCCCCTAAAACTGGCTGGAACTTCGAAGACAAACCAGAGCAGCTGCACGTTAGCCAGAAGCTCTTTTATGTAAAGACTTTGGGGGGAAACTTGCAGCAGAAATATAGCCAGCTCTTCTGGGGGCTTCCATCTTTGCACAGTGAGTCCCTAGTGGCTACTCTCCTGGTTTCTAGAAGTAGTTCCCCACTAGAGTCTCGCTTTGTCTTATTCAATGGAATCTGTAATGCTCCTGCAGTCAAAATGCAGCATTTAGGATCTTCACCACCTCCTAATTTCCACCTCCTTCCCCTACCCAATGTACATCCTCAAATCAAGCCCCCATCCCAATCTTCCACTCAGGTCCATCCCCAGGCCCACCTTCATTCTCGACTTCCTATACTATCATCTTCTCCATTCCAGACTAGGGAATGTGGAGTGTCTTCCCCTGGATCCCAGGATGAGTCATACTCTCATATATTGATTGAAAATGAAGACCGAGAATGGCCTGTGTTGCAGAAGAGACAGGAAGGTTTGTGGGGTTTAGACCCCATTCTCCAAAAATCTCAAGAAGCCATTTGTCCTCAAGATCTCAACCCTCCATTGGTCAGCCGGCCATCCCATGACTATGCACCAGTTTCCATCCTTCCTGGAAATTTTCACATCACCAGTGAACCTGAGGAGAAACTGCAGCTCCATGTTCCAAGGAAGACAATCCTAAGGAGGTGCCTTAATGACTGTAGGAATGTAGACTCCCTCGCACTGATGGCGCCTCAGAGTAAATTAACAAAAATATCTCAGCAGCAAGGCAAACATGCTCACTTACAACTCTCTGAGCTTCAGGGCCAGAGTAGTAAAGATCTAGCCAAGCCTGAACTGAGTCTCCCAGGAAGTTTCTATAAGAGGTTTCCACAAAAGTTTCAGCTAAGAAAGGACATGCAGAGAAATCTTGGGTATATTCTAGAAAAGAGCCCAGAAGACATCCCACAGAGGATCTCAGAACGCTACTTTCTGAAGAGTCTGAGGGCTGCCTCAGACACAGGACGTAACTGTGTGCGTCACTCAAGTAATCACTTAAGAAATGAATTATTAAATGTCTCAAGGAGTGACCTTGACCAGAATCAAATGAAAACGATACTTAGATTACATCTGAACAAGAAATTCTGGCAGATCACTGCGGGGAGGATCCCTATAGGTGTGTGTCGTTCCTGGCTGGCTCAGGACAATACATCACCTCCCGGGAGTTCCCAGACCAATATGGAAAACACAAATTCCATACACACAATGGTAGGTGGTGTGTACTGCCAGATTCCCACTCTAGAGCTCTCTTTTCTTGATCCTGACACCCGAGAAGTGTTAGAAGCCCACATTATAAGGTTTCGTGTGAATCAGAGGTGGGGTCTACCCCTCAAAGTTGTTGAATCCATAAAGTTCTATACATCGAGAGATGTCAAAACATGTCCTCTTCCACAATGTGGCTTTTCCTCCTCAGCCACCCATATTTCTGGTGTAGATTCCAAAGCTGAGGTTTCCAAGTCTCTTGAGGGAAGCTCTAAAACTTTTCAGGGAAACAAGGTGAGAACAACAAATTCAGTCACTATTCTGGATCATCCTCTCCTGGATTCTTTATCTGTGGGCAGTGAAGGACAGGGGGCCCTGAAACCATCACACGCTGATATGGACTATATGCCTGTAGAAGACGTCCAGATATTTGAGCATGGCAGACAGTCATTTCAGACTGTCACTCACAGCACCATAGAAAATGTGAGTCAGAATGAGACTGTAGTAGACAACAGTTGCTGCACAGAGGTGCCCACGAAGCAAGCTGAGTCTAGACCTGAACCAAGGGATGAGAACGTGAATTCCAGTGATAGAGCAGAAATGATTCAAGGCCAAAGGACAGTAGAGAAGAATTTAGAACATTTTTGCATGTCCAACATGTCCAAGGAAATGTGCAAGGCCAAAGAAGTGCATGCTGTTAAATCACAATCTTGTGACCTCTTGACAACCGGGGAGTTGGGAAGCTCCCAAAGGATAAATGTCGATAGGAGTAAAGTAGTATCTACCCTGACCACTGAATGTCACTCACCAAAAATATCATTGCCCCACAATTCTAAACCATCAGAACTGAAAAAGCAGGTCCTTGATGAGTTAAAGTTTAAACTGGAGAGCTGGGAGCAAAGCCAGGCTCAAGGCTCTCCCATTGACATGTCTTCTACTTCAGACAGGTTGCCTTCCCAGTCTTTACTGACTCAGTCTCAAAGCATCTCCACTGAGGACATGGGACCTTGCCAGGTACTTAATGTCCACTTGGAGGACAGCAGGATAATCAGAGATCTGAGGCAGCAACCCTGGGTCTCTAAGTATGTCTTACGGAAGTGCCAGGATAATGATTTCCCACCAGCTGCAAAGAAAGTGGGACCTCTGAGCTCCAAATTAGAAGAATGTGGAAGTGAGGCTTCCGGAGTAGTGACATATAAAGCCAGAAAGAAGAGCCACCCTGTTGATGACGGAGAATTAGAGAGCACTTTATCATCTCTGTCACAGAATGAACAGTTTCCTCCTGATAGTTACTTCAGAAAAAAGATAAGACGATTTTTTCAGTGGATCAATTCCAAGAGAAACATCAATGTCCAGGAAAGCCCTCAGCAGCAACACTCAGCTGAAAGTTCAGCTATCTTTGTGGGTTTTGGGCCTCCTGAAGTTCATGGGGTCATAAAAGCCATGGAGAAGATCCTAGAGGAGAAACTGGCACGTACGTACAAACCTGAGGCCTTGGACTTAAGTCAGCAGAAGGAGGAACTGCAGGCCCAGGTCGACCCTGACAAGGGACATCCCTCCAACTATGGGGATCTCTCTGATGCACGGCAGGAGGAATGGGCAGGTACCAACTGCTGCAACCAAGAAGCTGTCTCTGCTGATCAGAGTTGTCATACAAGTGCTATAAGGAACAGAGTTAGACATTCCCAGAAAATTGCGGCCTTTAAGGACCACCTATTACGCCAGAGTCAACACCCTTCCCCACCCTCCAGGGACCCCATGCCTGATCCACACCCCACCTGCATACATGAAACATGCCAGGTCTGTCCAGCCACCCTCACTCACGATGAAAGCACTGTGTTCAGAGATTTGACTCTTCTATTCAAACAGAAAATGCTTCTCCAGTACTTCCAGGGAGAAAAAGTCCCTACCCAAAAATCATTCGGTCCTTGTTGAGAAAGCCTCACCGTTTTCATGATAACATATCCTCTAATGAGAACAATCAGTCTTTAGCACAACCAAGGATATTGATCCTCGTCAATAAATGTTTCTTCTACTGTAGAGTCTTGTTGTCTATGTACTGAATGTGGGAGTGGCATTCCATATCCCTGGATATGCTTAGGGAAGGGAAGGAATTATTTCAGCTCTTACTGATTTCCTCTTTAGGTTTCTAAAAGATGATCAGCCCCATGTAGGGAGCCTGAAAGTGGCCTTCTCAGTTTTTTTACTGGGGTCCTTTATTTGACCTTCTCAAATTTCCTGTAGTTATAACACTTCATTTTTAATATAGTTACTTTGTAACTATATTTTTAATATAGTTACAAAAAGTTTACTCTAAACACTTGTACGCTTTTTCAAAGTGAGGAAAAACTTTTAAGCCCAGAATTTGGCTTAAACTTTCTTTTTATCTGCTCCCTCAGTATTCTGAACTTGATACAGGTGTTGGGTGGGGTGAGTTACCCTGGCAGAATATAGCCAGAATTCCTCCTTTTTGCCTTTAGAAGGTTTTGGAATAGAAAGTGGGGAAGGTGAGTGTTTATGACCTTAAGTTAGTGGTAGGGAGAAACAATTCTATTGGATCTCTTGGTGAGGAATAACTGTCATCTGCTCCTAAGAGCTCTTGTCTCCTTCATGTAGTTTGGGGTGATAGGCTATGCCCCCATTCCTTACCTTACTCTAATGAAAATGGGTAGCAGTCACCCTTTCCTCTTCCTCTATATTTACTGGAGAATTAGGGAGGACAGAACTTATAGCTCTGAAAAGGACCAGGGATAAGAATATTTTCATGAAAATAATGGCTTGCTTTCATTTAGAAAAAGTTGCTGATTCCAGAATATCGTACAGGTGAAGTCACTGAGTAGGGTGCATATCGGTGGGTTTTGCGAGTATGCACACTGGGTTGGCCAAGGTAGGCTATAGGAACTGGATGGGTCCGGCTGAGGAAAGAATCTGGTATAAGTAGGGTGTGAATCTGTCTCAAAGTCATGTTTTGAGCTCAACAACAGCATATTCCTGCTTATGAGAGCATCTTGAGGAACTGGACAAGCTCTTCCTGTTCTTCAGGGAAACCTCTTCAGGATGCTTAGCTTGATAGCATTGTTGCCAAACCAAGAGATAACTTGGCCATCACCTGTTAGTCATTAGGCAACCACCCAAAATTTGTCGAAAAGGAGACAAAGTAAGGAAAATGTAATGGTGGTATGAGAGGCAAAGGAAGAGAAAAATGGGAATAACCTCATCATTACAACATTACCTTACCTTGACCTCACCTCCTGGAGACTAATCAGGACTTGGTAGAGCACAATGATACCATTTCAGCTGAAGAGTATGTGGGATAATTATTGAGCATGAAGAGAGTATCTCCAGAGACATTTCAGGGAGTTTGTCCTACTTGTTGCCTGCTTTTCCAGCCATGTTATATCTTACACCAAGGTTAGTATAATTTAGAGGTATATTAGTTATCTATTGTTTTGTAATGGATAACCAGAAATTTAGTGCCTTCTGAAAACACATTCTTATGATCGCACAGTTTTTGTGGGCCAGGAATCCAGGCAAGGCCTACCTGGGTTCTCTGTTTCACAGTTTCTCACAGGCTGTAATTACGGTGTCAGCTGGAGCTCATATTTCCTCTGAAGGCTTTACTAGGGAAGAACCCACTTGTGTCCTCAAGGAAATCTCTCTGGGATGCTTGGGTTGATAGCATTGTTGCCAGCCCAAGAGATCACCTAGCCATCATTTGTTGGTCAATAGGGAGCCACTCAGAATTAGGCCTAGGCCTACCTTTCCTAGGCCTCACTTCCTGGAGACCAATCAGGGCTTGGTGGAGCACAATGATACCATTTCAGCATTAGAATATGTGGGATAATCATTGAGCATGAAGTGAGTATCTCCAGAGACAATTCAGTGAGTTTGTTCTCCTATTTTGTACCTGCCTTCCCAGCCATGCTACATCTTACACCAAGGTTACGGTAATTTGACGGGGATATTAGGTATCTACTGCTGTGTAATGGACACTTCGAAATTTAATGTCTTATAAAAACACATATTTATCATCTCATAGTTTTTGTGGGTCAGGTATCTAGGCAAGGCCTACCTGGACACTTTGCCTCAGAGTCTCTCAAAAGGCTGCAATTACTCTGTCAGCTGGAGCTCAAGCTTCCTCTGAAGGCTTGATTGGAGAAGGACTCACTCGTGTGCTTACTTATATAGCTGTTGGTAGAATTTAGTTCCTTAAGGTATGTTGGACTAAGGTCCTCAAATCCTTGCTGGCTGTTGGCTGTAGTTGCCTGAAGTCCATCCTCAGTTCCTCGTCATGGGGGCCTCTCCAACATGGCACCTTGCTTCATCAAAGCCAGGAGAGTCTGCTAACAGGACACAAGTTACAACCCTTTGTAAATTAATAATGGAAATGATGTCTTATCAGCTTTACCTTATTCTTTCAGTCAGAAGGAAATCACTAAGTCTAGCCTACACTCAAGGAGAAGGATAATTACACATGGGTGTAAATATCAGCAGGTGTGAGGATCATTGGAACCTTCTTAGAAGTCTTCCTAACACGGATTTCTTCCTGGATACGACACTAAGTTCACTAATGCAAAAGTGGCTAAGTGCCAAGTGGATCCTCTTCTTCAACCATATCAATGACATCAAGGTCAGAGCTGATTGATGGCTAATGTAGTGGTATCTGTAAAAAGACATCAAAGTGATTGGCGCATCCAAAGAAAGAATGAAAGGTGGCACAGGAAAGGTGCCATGGCATAGGAAAGGTAGGTTGTATGGGGTAGGTGTTACCATTCATTCTGAATGGTAAAGTGGAAGGAGCCCTTAGAACCACCTGACTCACCACTGCCAGTATTTAGTCTTAGAGGGTAGGAAAAATTAGGTGCAATGTGGCTCATCCTGGCTCCACTACAGTCTCTCCACTCTGCCCTAGCTCCCAGCCCATAGCCTAAAGAAGCAACTTTCAGCTCCTGTAGAGAAAGCAAGGCTTCTAGAGGAAGCAAATCCTATAGGTTGCCAGGTTTACTTTTTGTTCTTAGTACTTAATTGAATAAAGCACATCCATCATTTCGTATTTGTTTCTCACAGCTCGAACGTCAGAGAGAATGAGTCGCTCAATTGATGGAAAAGCCAGCACTGTACTAGGGAACTCAGAGCATGTAATTCCCATTCTGGGATGTTTTTCATGTACCCATGGCCTGAGGATTTCTAACTATGGAAGATGTGGTGGTGTAAAGAGCCTGTGTTACTGGCATGGAATCATATAACAAGTCATACCTGGTGCCCACTGCATCAATTCAGAGAAAAACTGGGTGAGATGATGAGACAGAAATTGCACACTCAGAATATCTAGGAAGTGACCTGTTTTAATAGGGTGGCAGCACTGTCCGGGATTGATCCCACAGTCTTGTGCTTCTAGGATTATATTCCCTTTTCT